GTTTTAGAACAAGCTGTCAAGATAAATATGTATCAATAGCTCCTCTTTGTACTGTATTTTTCACTTGTGATTATAAATAATTCATAGTCCGTAAAAGTAGGCCCATAGATTCTTTTGATCTTAAAGGTTAAGCAAATAGTCTAAAATATCATTTACCGATACTCCATTCTTCTGTACCCGTAATATTCATTATGGGTGATTGTGGGGCATTGAATAATTCATCCAATCATTCATTCCAGATGTTGAAACATGTGTGGTACCAGTTAGAAAGAAAATGTTAATATTAATTAATCCACATAGTGGACCTGGGAAAGCTTTGAGTCTGTTTAGACAAGAGGTTTTACCAATGTTACTGGAAGCCAACATCCCTTATAAAATGATAGTTACAGGTGTGTATTGCTTTCCATGCATTAAACAGACAACAGACAACACAAAATTCGAATGAGACCTACTAGTGTGAGCATCTTTTGGAGCAAAAACAATGTGTTATCTCTAGAAACATTGTTGATTAAACTACACTCTTTTATCAATAAGTGGATATACTTTATCAATATAGCCCTATTCATTAATTTTGATAATTTAAAACAACCATGTTTATATGAGAGTGTTAGAAAAACACTTGATATCATGACACCACATCCCATCTCTCAAATATTAACTGAAGGAAAATGCACCTTATTTATTTTCCATAATGATTTATTCTTGCATTAGAAGCTGCAGTTTAATATGACTAGATTTACAGTTAAATCAATAAGCATATGAGTTTGTGATAGTAAACTTAATGTGTATTTCTTTAATTCAAATTTTTTATTTGTAGAATACTGTGGTCATGCTAAAGAACTAATACAGAGTTTATCTCTTGAAGAATGGTACGGTATTGTTATTGTTTCGGGAGATGGTCTCATTTATGAAGTGAGTAGTACTAGCATTAGAAAACTCAGTTCTCATAATATCTCCAAACAGCTGAGGGGTTCAAACAAATTCCATTTTCATTTTATCAGTTGCTGTATCAATGGCCAGATGGGTTGGTTTTAACAGTATTTATGTCAAAACAATGTACCAACAAATATACACAACACAAAAAATGAATTGGGCGATTCAGATGGGTTCCTGTGCTCATGCGTTAATTGTTTTAACGAGACAGTGCTTT